TTATTTATTTAATTGTCAATATTGTGGGAGGCGAACATTATTTACTTTTGAAATGCAAATGTATAAATTTTTGTGACGTATGTTCGCGTGCATGAATTACCATCATTTTTAATTTCTTCATTTTCAATTAACTTTGTTGAATTTTTTGTTGAACTTGGTTGAAAGGACAACTTTAGTTAAGGCACTATCACAAGTATTATGTTTACTTTTTTGTGCTTCTTCCAATAAATAAATAAATATATATATATATATATATATATATATATATATATATACATGGACAGAAGACAAAATCGAAGATTAGACCTATTTTGATAGTGATGAATGATGATGTCATTAAAGAAACAGTCATAAAAAACTCATTCCAACTTAGATCCATGTCTGATGATTTCGATAAGATCTGGTCCAGTCAAGATTTGACAGTTGATTAGCGTCTTGAATTTAAAAAAAAATCGTTGATAAAGCAAAAGCAAATTAGGCCTCAAGTTCTTATTTTTTATTCAGAGTAAGGGGAACGGTAGGCAAGTGGCTTATTATCAGGTTCAGAAAGCTGGTGAAATAATGTCTGATAATGGTTTTGATAGTTGTGATGGTGATGGGAATCGATGTTTGTTTAGTCATAGTGATCATGATAATGGTGGCGTTAGCAAAGATGTGGCGGTTTGTCAAATTGATAAAGTAATGACATTTGATGATTCAAACAAAGATGGTACTTTGAAAAGATCAAGAAGAAGCAACAGAGTTTTTTTTATTATTATTCTTTAAAAATCAGGATCTGACAGACTCAGAAACTGTTAAACCAATAAGTAAATAAATAAATAAAAAAATAGAGAAAAAAATGTTTAAACATGAATTAAAAAGTAAAATAAAATAAACAATAATAAAATAAATTGACTATAAAATGATGTAATGGCATAAAAAAGGCAAATTAATAGACTAGATGATGACTTAGTGAGTTAGTGAAGTGATCGATAACTAAAAACTAGTTGTGTAAATAATAAAGTTTTATTTAGTGTTAATATGTTTGAGGTGTCTTTTGATGAAGGTCTTGTCCTGATTGGGTGGCGACTTGATAGTTATGCTTGCGTTGACGAATGTTGTGTGTTGTAGTTTTAATTGGTGGTAGTAGAGGATGGATGACGTGGTTGCTGTTATTTTCTACTTTCTTGAACAGTCTTGAATCGAATGTGTGGAATGTCTGCGTGACGGTAGGATATGATGCAGGTAGATAGGTAGATAAATATAACACTTTTATGTGTTTTCATTATCGATAAATATAACACTTTTATATGTTTTGATTATCGATAAATATAACTTTACGTGTTTTCATTATTGATAATTCCTCTGTTTCTAAATTTATTGGTGGGAAAAATTTCAATTGCCCGTTGTTGAATATTTATTATCGGATGTTTTTGTTCTATGAGTATTGATTCTGCTAGTCGTAAATTATAATGGTAATCAATAATTGCATTTCTGACAGTCTTTATCCAATATATTATATATATATTTATATATATATATATATATATATATATATATATATATATATATATATATATATATTGATGAAAATCACAGCATGTTTAGCGTTAGTTAACTTCTAATTTAACTTTTCAATTTTTCTAACGGTTGATCGTAAATCATTTTCAAGTTTCCTTAGTTCAAAACCCAGAATTTTTTTTGTTTTATACATGATAAAACAGAAAAGCTTTTTTCGGTAATCCTATACCATCTTCGATGTTCAAATTGATACGTTTTGGTTGTGCCCAGATGATCAAATATTTTTATACTGTGTCTCTTTATTGGTTCCTTTTTATTCAAAATGAATATTTTGTGAATCTTTTAACATCGTAAAATATAACACTTTTATGTGTTTTCATTTCTTTTATGGGGTTTCATGCGTTTTCATAAAAGTGATATGATCTCATAAAATCAAAGATAAAAACACTTAAAGAAATCATTGAGCAGTAAAATTTATGCCTCAATGCTGCATCGTGACCGAGATGACTTTTGGGTGTAGGAAAGATAGATGTACTCGAATGTCCGATTACCAATTGATTTATTCAACTAGAGCTATTCTTAGACGAGATATGTCAATGGATCCAAAAAATCTATCGCTACATATTCCGAACGGCCACTTGAGGAACGTCACCTGTGTATGGGGAAGTATCTTGCATCTTGGGCATCGAATGATGATAAAATACGACTTCCACCAAGATCTGGAAAAACATGGAAGTCGTTACGGGAAACAGTCGACCTAAATGCACCCAGGTAATGATTGATGGCGATATTGAGATATCAAGTCTGTCGGGAAACATCATTTGGGCAAAACTAAAAAATAATAAATGCAGGAGCCAGCAATTTGTCCTGGTGGAACCTACGCCAACGTCTAAAATATCAAATATCATTTTTTTAAAAAATGTCTGATAGAATTCCGATCCAGATAATGAATGTATCAGAAAATCCAATAAAATAAAGAATGGCAGAGTAATTGGCAATACCCAGCTAACAGGTACTATAAAAAGACTTGACGTAAAACTACAAAATGATATTAAGGAAAAGAATTGAACATCCAAAGTTTCCAACACAACCTATTGGACGAGACAATTCTCACCGAAAAAGAACGAAGGAAGGCCGAGACACTGTTAGTCATGTATTCGAATATATTCTCCTTATCCGGTTTCCAGTGGCTTTTGACCTTAGATTTAAAAAGCGGGTACTGGCAGATTGAGATTGAAGAAAATGATCAAGGAAAGACGGCTTACAGATCTGAAAAGACGCCATTCAGGTTACGTAATGCTCCAGCCATACTTGAACGCCAATGGAATACGTTTTGAGGGGACTTACGTGGAAGACGTGCCTTGTCTACCTAAACAATATTATTGTTTTAGGATGTACGTTTGATCAACACTTTGCAAGTTTGCAAGAGGTATTCTCAAGCTGAATAAAAAGAAATGCCAGTTTTTCCCAAAGGAAGTGAATTACCTTGGACATTACCAGAAGGTGTCGAAACGGAACCCTGCAAAATAAATGTAGTAAAAAAACTGGTCAGTACTTTAAGATAAACATGAAGTACATTCTTTTTTGGGTTAGCTATAAATTAATGACGGTTCGTCTAAGACTTTTCTCTAATCGCGAAGCCATCATACGAATTAACAAAAAAGAACCAAGTGTTCGTATGGGATGACTCCGCAGCAACAGCATTTGTATAGCTAATAGAACAGCTTTAAGTACAACCCCCATTCTTTTCTACTCGATTCAAGAAAAGACATTCATTCTCGACACGGATGCCAGTAATAGCGGAATAGGAGCCGTCCTGTCACACATCGATGGGTATGAAAGGTCAGATTAAAGGTTAAATTGCACTTTTCCAAACTTCAGAGGATTTAACAAAGCGTACAAACATCGTAAATGAATACGTGCTAAACGACGCATCACACACGAAGCATGTGATAGGCGGTGATCTTTTCGTCATATTTGAACCCGGTGACTGCGAAACAGCACAAGGCTTCCTTAACCATTAGACCATCACGCTTTTGCTCCTTTCGAGTAGAGGTTATGTTTTCGTAGTTCCTTCCTCAGATTTGTTGTATCAAGCTTTTTAATGATAGCATTCTTTATTGAAGAAAATTTCGATTTATCAAAAATCTTACTTTTGCCATCAATGTTGTAACCCTTGACCTCGTAAGTAGCAACACTAATGTTATAACTTCAAAGATATATTATAACTATATTTCCAACACCTGTATTGTAGCTTCCAACGATCGTCAAGTGTTCGTTATTCCGTAGGTTCAAGATTTCCGATAAATGAACACAACTGCTTCAAACGCAAACTTTGTTGAACATTTATTTGAATTCCAACAATAATAGAAACAATAAACTAACCCAAATAACTACATAAGTCACATTTACGACTTCGCTTTCTTTGCTGAAAACCTGACTTGAAACATTACTACGCAGGATACATTTTTAGTCCGATTTTACAATCATTTACATTTTACATTTACACTCTATGGTTTACAATCCAAGGATTACAAATATAGCAAAAATAATAATGATATAGGGCATTTTGATCATTCCGGCGGTTATAACAATACTATCATCTGTACAAGCAGAACTAACCTTGCCAACCAACCAAACTTATTCAGCCTGAAAATTTTTTAACGTTGACAACATAATATAAATTTTTTAACGTCGACAACTTGATATAGATTTTTTTAAACGTCGACAACTTGATATAAAATCATTGCACGCATATTAGAACTTGGTTAACAAAAATCTTTTGATAATTATTTTTTCATATAAGGAAATTAATTTGTTTTTTCATGATTGAAAATAATTATATAGAAAGCTTTAGTGGGCCTCCCAGTTTGGTAATCCCTGGTTTAAATCAAACGCTTCGTTTCACTCACTATAAGTAATTCAATGTTTACAATATTTTGATTTATCGTAAATGTATAAGTAATTCAATGTTTACAATATTTTGATTTATCGTAAATGTGTTCAAAATAAGCAAGTATAAGTTTGCTTTCGAGAACCTGATTTATTTATCTAAAATAAAAAAATTAAATTCGAGGTACAAATACCAAGCTATTAACACACAATAATAAAACTAACCACGTGTTAGAAATTTATATAGGATGGTAAAAGTCCCGCTATAAGCAAAGAATAGAAATTCAAGGAATACTTAAGCATAGAAAATTATATGAAATATAATTTACATCTCCCCCCTCCAAGTCACTTTTTGAGGTACATAAAGTGACAATTTATTAAAGTAAAAAAGTTTGATTCTTTCTTCTTCTTTTCCCAGTCTACTTCGAAAATCGACATCTTTCTAAGAATTTTAAACGGGCCAACTTAGTCCATTTTACTTCATATCACTTACACAAATTTTTAAATTATAAAAATTTGAAAAAAATTGTTAAATTATGAAAGCGTTACAATCGACATTTTAACATTTTGATCACACGGCACAAAAATTAAAAAAAAATTTTTTCCAG